TTTTTGATAAAAGAAAACGGCAGCATCAACTTGTCGTCTGCTGCTTTAATACGGGACGAGGGCCCGAGATAAACTCCATTTGGTTGGGCCTTACAGCGTTTTTTTTTTTTTCTTTTTCCCTACCCATAGCGACTATGGCAACACATAATGATAGTGAAAGTATGTAAATAAAAATGTTAATTTTTTATTTTTTATTTAAAAATATTAATTATGATAATTTTTAAATAAAAATATTAATTTTGAATTATTTTTATTTAAAAATTTATTAGTTGGTGATTTTAACATGACAGATGAATTTTTTTTAAAAATATTAATATTTTTAAATAAAAAAAATTGATATTTCTAAATAAAAAATAATTAAAAATTAATATTTTTATTTAAAAACTAATAAAATTAACATCATTAAATAAAAAAATACAAAATTATTACTCTTATTTGTACCTTTCTCTATAACAATAAAACATTAAAAACTTGTTTTAATAGAATCTCCACCGGAGGAAGGCATGTAGAGTAACTTATCCAATTATTAATAGAAAGGTGCTTCTTCACTCAGGACATGTTGCAAACTCTTATTCCTCTACCCACCCTTCTCTCTACCAGAATTTTAACAAGTTGACCTGTCCCATTAAAAAAAAAAAAAAATCTCCACATAATAATAATTTTGCACTTGGCCTTATAGGGCATTTGGTGAAAATGAGTACCTTCCAACCTCATGAGCTGGGTTCAAACCACTCCTCTCCCACCCCAAAAAACTAATAATAATAATTTAAGTAGTCTCCTCTTTTGGAACTATTAAAACATAGGTAATTGGACGAGAAGCTTGTTCCTATTTAATAGTTAGTATTATATAATTTGATACAATTTAAATTACACATTATTTTCATCTAATTGTAAATTTTAAGTTATATAAGTCTCAATATAAAAAAAATAACAATTGAAACACCACATCATAAGTTCTTATATGATGTCACAGCTAATAAAGAGTGATCAATAATTTTAAAATATCTTAATACAAAACTTGTGACATGTTATGATTAAGAATGCCACCTAACACAAAATTTGTAGGGTGACACAAGAAATCTCAATATAATGACAGTCAATAAATTTAAAATACATGAAAGATTTTCCCCATCAAGTGTGAAAAAAGTCGGTTTCATTGCATTTCCTTCTTACCCGACACTTTACAATGAAAAACATGCACTATACATTAGAACTATCAATTGGGACCTTATTTAGAATAATTTTATTTTAACAGTCCTTAGAAGATGTCTTGACACAATTTTACCTTGCCATGGGGTGAGGAATTTGAGAAAGAGAGGGTAAACCCTCTCATAAAGCAGTCCACAAAGAGAAGAAATAATATTAGCTTTTAAAGCAGAAGGAAAAACTCAATAGAAAACATTGAGGAAGAGAAGAATGCTATTATCATCACTTCTGTTGAAGCAAAACTGTAAAAATTTCAAATTTCAGCTGTTTCGTAGATTTAAGAATGGCAACATCACTATGAAGGTCCTCCAAAGTGGAAAATTTTGCAATAACACCCTTCTCTACTTTCCAATCCTCGAGTTATCCTTGGAAGCTTCTATTTCCGACCTCATAAACTATCAATCAGTTTTTGTCATTCCGGAGTAGAAGGGGGCCGCTGCCGAAAAAACTATGCAGGACCAAAGAAGATTTGAATGAGTATAAATCTGAAGGAGAATCGATTTTGGGTTAAGCTTTGAAGAAGCCCCTGAACAAGAAAATTCCTAGGCTCCCAATGGCTAGTGTTGTTAAAATTAGAGGAACTTTAATGGGCTCAGCATCACACATCATGCCTTTTCCTTGTGCTTTTCCTTTTCCTTGTGCTTTTCCTTGGTTACGTCCCTCTCCGAGGTTCTTGTGAAGAAGATTGCTGAGGTTGTGTAACTGATGCATGAGTTGCCGTTGTCCACGTGCAATACTTGATATCTGATACAATATAGAACATGCACGGATCATAATATTCATAGGCAAAGCATGCAGTGAAAAGTTGACAGGATACACACACTCTCAGATAACGTAACTACTTGTCAATATCAAAACCTAGAGAACAGTTAGACCTCATTCATCATTGCATGAAAATGGAAAAAGGCAGTTAACGTAATCAAAACATGATGAAGCTAATTCACAATTTTTAACCCTATAATTCACATAATTTTATCCCTTCAACATACATATGCATCTATAAGCTGTTGCACCAACGCACTGAACAGTATTTAACCAGTCCTACTGTCTTAGTTTCAAAATCATCTCAAGAACCTTTGTTCACACCCTCGACAACAAAAATTTAGTCAAAACTTTAATTTGGGAATTCATAATGATCAACTGTTTTTAACTTCTTTTCCAACAATTCACAAAAGAATTAAGTGGTTAGCCCTTGCTGGCTTGTTACCAACACATTTGTAGCTGGTTGTTTAATTTGGAAGAAAATTCATATTAGAGGACAACATATTTGAAAGAAGAAAATTTGTATAAAAAGACCAGCCATACTTACCTCGTCCAATAGAGGTGACTCTTTAGCCAACTGAGAGGAAGAAGAGTTAGGCATAATGGATCCATTGCATAAACCAGAGAGAAAGTAAGAAGTGGGAGCAGAACCATTGCATGCTTCAGTTTGGACAGTCATGTTTTGTTGGCTGGAAGTACTATTCTTGAATGTCAGCTTGGAATTCAACTCTTCGATTCGAGTAGTAAACTCATCCATTCGCTCATTTAGTGAGGAAATCTGTTCTGAAAGCTGAGTTATGACTCCCTGCAAAGGACAGGGAGAAGAAAATTACAGATTATGATTGTGATCTCATTTCATAAGGGGAGAATATAAAAGGAAACTGCATAACCAAGAAGTTGTAGTGGACTACAACTATCTCTCATAAACATACCTGATTTGCTAGAGCTGATGTTGACTCGTTCCTCTCATCAAACCTATGGTTGTTCACAGTATATCCAGTGAACTTGGATAGATTCTTATCCCGCTGAGTTGAATATGAGTGGGACATACCTCTGTTTAATGACAGGAAAAGCTACTTTATAACTTGATGCACATAAAAGAAGCCAAGAATGTCATCATACTGCAGACAATGAAACTTATCAGATATCAAACCTTTTCAGATGCTTGTTTCTCATGGCAACCATATCAGCAGAGGCTCGTAAGAGTGCTTCTTTGGGGCTTGACACACAATCCTCATCTAAGCTGAGTTTTGTCTTCAAATCCTCTGGCAGAGCCTGTAAAATGTTCGGTTAAAAACATAAAGAAAAAGGATAGGCCATCATAACCATTGAGATGATATCATACCATAACCTCATTTACAAGCTTTTCAAGTTGGATCTGTTCAATATATGTATGTGGAATGTATGAACCTTCTAGACCAAGCTGTTCAGCAACACATTTGACAACTATGCGATCTTTTCCTTGCACCTTTTCAAGAAAATTTCAAAACAGATTATTAGCATTAGCTTACCGGAAAAATTGACATAAAAGATTACGAAGAACTGTTATGGTGAAATACAAAACCATCAATTTTCTACATGATTATCCATGTCTACCCCATCTCTTGATGGAGCATAATTTAAAATATTACATACAATAAGGAAACTTGTAACAAATACAAAATTTCCCATGCATGCTAAACAATAGAATAATAATAATATGCTACTGTTTCCTGTCTCTACACAATTTGTCACTAAACTAGCTCTTTACTAAATTGGAAAGAGAACATAACTTTACAGGAACCATTACTAACATAAATAGACAGAACACTATATAAAATACAAGAAAATATATGCAGAAGTTACAAAATTGTGCTCTATCCAATTATGATATATGATTCTTTAAGAAATCCATTTTCAACCAAAGAAAACCAAGTACCAAAAGACACCATCCCCATACCCACCAGTAAGAGTATTAGTACCTGAATATATTGACGAGTTAGCTGTTCTAGCCAATCAATTTTCACACACACCCTATCATCAGAGAAGACATGGCTGCTTCTTTTAAGGATAGTTGTTATTGTGTATCCCAGAGCCATAAGTCCACCAAGAAGACGCACACTGACTTCAAAAGTAATTCTTGGAGATATAACAAATGGACCATCAGTCACCAATTCCTGAAAATGTGAATTAGAGAATATCAAACCAGAGAAGATATCAAAATGTGCTCCGCTTTGCCATGGGTTAAAAGAAATTCATTGCAACCTTAGAAAACTGAAGAAGCTGAGATATCAAGCACATGGAAACACATGATTTTGAAGTCACAATACTTTAGCAGAATAAAGTAAGAGACTGAGATTTGAAAAATGACTCAAGAATATATGTTTATCTTTTACCAGATGAGCAAACTATACTCCTCTCCATCAGAACATATGCAACATTCATCTCTTTGCACTACATAGAATAATTCTTAATAGATTTTGAGAAACTAGAAGCAGACTGGTGGAATTGATGTGTTAATTTCAAGAGACACACCTCAAACATAAGATTGTATTTTCCATCTTTATTCCGCATCCGGAGATATGATTGACAGGATTCTGGGTCTTCTCCTGGTGGTAGGAGATAAATATCATAAGTCTGCTCATTTGTTTCTGTATGTTCTTCTGATATAACATTTTTAATTTGCTCCTCTGTAACCTTCCTTGCTGACTGCAATAAACAGAAGCACTCAGATATTGGTGCAGAGAAAAACATTTAGGAAGTAATTCTATTACAGGAATCAATACAACATAATAATTCTTTTAACAGAAAGTAAGAAAGGGAGTATAACCTTTAAAATATAAGTGGGACTTTGAAATCCAGCAAATGGGTTGAACTTGTTTATGATTTTTATATGTGCTGTTTGGAGATCTGGCTCAATAAAAGCCTTGTACATTGGATATACCTGCATTAAAAAGAAGCTGAGCACTAATAAAACACAGAAACACCATAACTAGATTTAACTTGGTTCAAAGAAATTTACTCAAATTTATATAAAATAAAATGGGGAAGCAAACCGTTTCAGATATCTGATGGATTATTTCTTCTGGTTCTTGTCCAGCACGCTGTATATCCCGCAAGACTCGTTTAACAAGGTCCAAATGAACTCCCCCTGTGACAGATACTCGAAGATCCAGTATAGGTCGCAACTTTTCACTCAAAGCATAAATTCCCTCGATGATTACAATACGGGAACTTGGCACTTGAAGCATCCTATCAAAAGTACATGCTTCAATTAAGTCAAAGAAATGCAATTAAATATGGAAGCATGAAAATTAGATAGGCTATTTATTCACAATGTCATTGAGGAAAAAGTCTGATCCAGTTCTTCTCACCTACAAGCAATTTTAATATGCACATTTAAACATTAACAGGAGTTTTATTTTTTCCTTTGGCATACCTGAGCTAATTTAATCCTTTATAGTTTTTTTACCAAATGGTGAAACTATTCATATGCACAAAATGGAACAGTATTCGACCTGTATCCTATACGAGAACTAGTCTTAAAGTCATAGATTGGAGCCTCAGCTTCCTTCCCTGCCTTTAAATCTTGGAGATTCTTGAGTAATGTATCATAATCCGTTAAACGAGGATCTGTTGTTCAGAGGAAAAAGAAAGAAGTCACAGAATGATGTTATGAAAATGCATCCTCAAATCATTAACTTCTAAGATGAATGGCTCACAACTTTTAGGAAAAACAATTTAATGATATTCTAAGCAATTCAGTTGGTGTTATTGAGGTGATTCTTGATTCTTTCAACCTAATTACAAACTACCTTGCCCAAAGAAAGCGATGCAGAATTATTTCTCAACAGACATTGATTGCCACAATGTATTCATTACTCTAACAATCGTCTTAGACATAGCTCCTCTCTACATAGTTATTAACAAAGAGAAACAAGAGATAGAATTTGCAAAACCAATTGATGCAAAGACATGTTTAATAGCATGTTATTTAATGTGAATTGCTTAACTAGAAAATACAATATTTTCAAAAGCAATGCAAACTGAGCAAAAGGACAAATTACCATCATAGTTGCCATCAACAATTCTACTAGCATCATTATAGTTGTCCATTGATATAACAGCAATGCTTGGCATGAAATTGAGTATCTTTTCTGCAAACACAGTCTTCCCAGCTCCAGAAGGACCTGCTAACCCCACCAATATTATTCCATCATTCTTTTGGGCTAGCAATTGGCATGCACGGATAACTATGAAGAACCCCTTCTCGAAAGACAAAGTATCTTGGATTGGGACAATCTTATAGCGATCAGAATCCTTTCTCTTAACCAAACGGACTTGTTCTTTTAAGAGAACTGGTTTTTTCTGGTGTGATTCAGCAACAGAAGAATCTTGAGCCATTGAAAATATGGCAGCTTGCTCTGATGGAGACAAATAAAAAAATAATAAAAAAAAGGAGCAAAAAAAGATCACAACAAATGATAACAAAGCAATAGGATATGAAAGCTGCTTAAGAAAAAATAGAGATTGCACAGGAATTAAATGAGGTAGCTATTGTGATTGCACTAGGCTTCCAAGTAAAAGATAAAATTAATAAATAAATAAAAATAACCATCCTTCATTATTGGTGAGCACAAAATCAGAATTCCAAAGAAAAAGGTGAAAAATGAAAGTATTATAAATGCTATTATGACAAACTATAATAACACCGTGCACAAAACTTGGATCATTTCAGTAGAAATATAGTCATTGTTATCAATAGTCTACTCAGATTGCTAATTACTGGATCATAAATATAAAAAGCTCTAAAATATTCACATCACATTGTACTATAGAAACACCAAAACGAACCAGCAAAGACGAAACTATATTCCTTTCTTCAATGAACCTTGTCAGCAAATGAATTTTCAAACCCAAAATAGAGAGTAATTAACACCATTGACATTCGCATGATACAAAAACGAAAAATTCTGATCCATAATATGCCCAAGAACTGGAAAGAACACCACACCAGAAAATCCAGAAAACAAAACCAACGCAAAAACAGATAATAAAACAAGCTAAAATGCATCAATATGCACAACAACTTTGTTATAAAACGATATCAGGATCCAAAACAATATGCCTACCTGACCTCCTCAACCATAAAACATCAAAAATCATCAAAATAACGATTACCCAGATAACGAAACAGAAAACCCAACAAATCCCAGAAACGAAAATCGATCAGGAACAACCCCAAAACCCAGATTTCCCGATGATGATGGGAGCACTCACCGAGTCACAGCAAGTTAGTCCGTTGGTTATGGCAATAGGTCACGCTTAGATCACCCAGAAAAGGGTCATAGGCGTTTACTTAAATAAAAAAACTGAATAATAAAACACTGGTTTGGTGATTTTCCATGGACATCTTCGGGAGTTGGGAATTCTGGAGAAAGTACTGTCACAGGAAAGAAGAAGAACGCGCAGAGGTATTTAAAGCTTTTCGATTATTTTGTTTTTTTTTTCTTTTCTTTTTCCTTAGTTTTTGTTCGGAAGCAATGCTAATAATATCCTATGTAAATACAACTTTTAGTTTTATTAGAGTGGTTAAATTCAAATATGCCGAAAAGATTTAATTATTAAATAATAAATAATATTTTATAAAAAATTATATAAAAATATTTATCAATTACTCTCTTTTTATTAGGTCAATATAAAAATTATAATAGTGTAATTTTTACTACTACTTTCATAAGTAATATGGTACGTATTTTTGCAGGGGAATAGTTAAATTAAACATTTTATTTATATAAAAATTATGTATTTTAAATTTTAAATTAATTAAATATATTTAATTATTTTATAATTATATTTTAATTTTAAATTATCTTAAAATTTTACATGTACTTCAGTAAGACTTATAATAATAAAAATTTTAATTTAATAATTAATTTAATACAATATAAATTATATAAAAATAATTATTTACTAATTTAACTAAGGGTGTACTGAATGTTTTTTTTTTTTTGGTTTTGGTACCTATGCTGTTTTCTGCGGTGGAGGTCGGTTACGTGTTACCTACGATTTTATCATTATACAAATTTTAAATTTTCATCTCAATTTTGATTTAACAATTTAGGTAGAGTTTTAATTTCCTTTTTGAAAAAGATTCTGGTATGTGATATTGTTGTCATGTCTATCTAATTTCCCTAAACTGGCAGCGGAATTGTTAAAGATATTATGAGTAATTATTGACTAAGGTTTTTTTTTTTAATAATATAATAAAAATATTTTTTTATAATTTTTTTTAATTTCAACATAAATGATATTTGATTAGATTGATGTTAAACCTTGGTATGAACTGCAGGCATTAGAGAAGATAAACAAACATCACTTAGGAGTTCGGAGTACTATTAATTATTAAATACTATTAAAATATTTGATTGATATCCTAAGAGTTCTTAAAAACGAGAAGATAAGAGCTAGATGTTATAATGTATTTGAATTGGACTAGGTTTTTCTTTGGTACGTATTGTACTGAAGTTTTTTTTTTTTTTCTTTTTTTGAAGAAAAGAAGTATTCTACTATTCATGAACTGCAGGCATTAGAAAAGATAAATAAACATCACTTAGGAGTTAGGAGGACTATTAAATACTATTAAAATATTTGATTGATATCCTAAGAGTTCTTAAAAATGAGAAGATAGGGTTAGATGTTACAATGTATTTGAATTTTTCTTTGGTACGTATTGTATTGAGGTTTATTTTTTTTTAAGAAAAGAAGTGTTCTACTATTACAAATAAAAAATAAAAAAAACTCTAAGAGTTAGATTTATAAGTAAATAAGTGTTGTTTTATAAGTTAAAGAAAAAATTTAAGTTTTGAGCTAGTATCTAAGAGAATTAATTTTCTTATATGCATTAAATCAATATGAGAGATGTATTCTTAAAATTGTTAATTAAAAAATTAATTTTAAAATACATAAAAACCAACAAATAACACTTTGACAATAAATATATAAAAATAAAAAATAAAAGGTGCACTAGGTAAGTGTTGAAAGCCATAACATGAAGTAAAATTCAAAATTGATCACTACAAAATAACCCTACAATTAAAAAAGGAGTTAAGTTGAAACTTATTTTCTAAAAAAATCTTAATTTAAAATTAATATAATATCAAATAATTAACTCTTTAATGTATATGTATATATATATATATAACTACAACCCTAAAACCAATATACGCTTGCCAACGACGCAAAAAGGTGCAGTGTTAAACCGGCCAAAAGGCCTATGTTCAACAACACAAGCGTATTTAAAAAAATCTCATTTTCCTATATCCCTCAAAAAAAGAAGATTTCAACTTCAAATCTCTCCACTTATGTGTTTTTAAAAAGTTCAAGTGAATTTAAAGAAGGAAATTTAAAATTAAAACTTTAATTATGTTTATATATATGTAACATATCAAATTGTTCAACGTTGCATGCTATGTGGTTGAATCATTAAATATTTTACTTAAATTAGGGTATGGATAGCATCTTCTATGCTTTTATTGAAGCGTCAATTTCAATTTGCAAATGAGCTAAGTCTAGAATGTGCAAGGCGAGCAGCTAGCCCCACAAGTGGTAATGCCATAGTGTCACCTTATCTCAAAGAACATATCTTACAATAGCAATATCTTTTGGTTCATTTCCATCATGCTATCAAAATTGCTTATTTGTATATCACATCATCAAATATACGAAATAATTACTACTATACTACAAAAATGATTGAAATTAGTGCCGGTTCAAAACAAACCTTCATCTTGAAAAACATATCAATTAATTATTAACTAGTCCAATTCGATAGGTTTATGTCTTTATCCGTATCAGTCAATGACAAGAAAAACTGTTAGTTTATGCCCCCACAAAATCAACATAATGGTGAGGTTGAAATTTCTGGGCAATAATTCTCAATTTCCATGTACTATAACGGGCCGAACCCGTGAAAATGATTGTGATGGTGATGCTTTTCATATCAAATATTGAATTTCCATGCAGAAGTGGAGAAATATCGGAGTTCTAGGTTTTTTATCGTGCTGTTAAACAGAGGCTGTAATTGCAGTATCTGTTGGTAGCAAAATCGGTGTTTTGCGGTACAGCTTGCATCTATTTACAAAACATGAAATGAATGAGAA